AACTTGAAGATTTACTAATTTAGAAAATACCAATTTGCAAGATCCATTTTTTCATTTAAAGATCGATTTTATTTATTTTTTAAAAGATTACATCACATGATAAATGACATTGTTAAAATTATTTGGGTGGCGGAGCAAGTAATCTTGAAAAGAACAATTCTTGGGTCACTGTGACTTGCATTACTTGCTAAGAATAATGTAGAAGAAGAAGAAAGGTTGATATTCAATTGAAGAGTAGACATGTTGTTGGTTATGTTTGGAATTGAGAATTTTAACCTAATTAAAAGAATAAGTTAAAAAAAAAAAGAGGTCTACTGCATCTGAAATAAATAGGAAAATAAAATTGAAGAAAGTGGGCCCACCTAGCGCGTGTATACAAGCATATGTGTATATATGGTAATGACAAAAGTTGAGCGTTTAAAGGTTATAAAATATCAAAAATAAAAGGTTCAGGGGGGGTAATAGGACCCCCGTAAAATTTAGGTGTGTAGTTGAGAATTGGTTAATAGATTGGGGGTCATTTGGCCATTTATGCACAAAAAAAGTCTTAGGTAGAGAAGAAAATTGCATGGCAAAAATGTTAGGGTTTTGCCCTGATTTTTTTACTTTATTTGAAGTTTATTTTTTTTCCTAAAAGAAATAACACATAAATATTTTTACTTTTCATGATATTTGGTTTATTCTTTCTTTAGAGGGAGAGTTTGGAGATATATAAATTGAAGATTTCTATTCTCATAACATAACATAAGAACATCCACAATGTAGTCTTTTAAGAGTTCAGTTTATGGGGAGATTTTCTCCCAATATGTTTATGTTTTTCCAATATAAGTTTTTAATATGTAGGTCGTTTGACCAAACTATAATAATATTATATCTTTTAGAATAGTTTTGTTTGTCATCTGATTTACCGTCTCTATGATTTGCAATTGTAAGCTTTCGCATGACGCCTTAATCGCCTTCATAACCCAACAAGTAGTATCAGAGCACATGGTCCAACGATCCCATGGTCCAACGATCCCATGATTGAACAAGAGGTTGAAGATAGGCTCAAGATAGTTTCAAATTAATTTGTAATCAATTTGATGATAATGAAGATTTTTGTCTAGCTACATATGAAGAAGAAGTTTTAAACCATATTTTCAACATTTCTATTGCTGCAATTTTAAAAATAAAACAAAATATTTTTAACCAATTTTTAACCCATATATTTTAAACTTTATTTTTAAACATGACAAACAGCAGTGATGGAGACTATGTGAAGAACAAAGATTATCATGCAATTGAAGAAGGTGAATCAAGTTTTGTCAAGAAAATCCAGTCAAAAAGGGAGATTTGTTAGGGTTTTACCCTGATTTTCTTACCTTATTTGAAGTTTATTTCTTTTTCCTAAAAGAAAAGACAAAACATTAATATAAATATTTTTACTTTTCATGAAAGGAAAATATATTTTTTCTTCCATATTTGGTTTATTCTTTCTTTAGAGGGAGAGTTTAAAGATCTATAAATTGAAGATCACTATTCTCATAGCATAACATAAGAACATCCACAATGTAGTCCTTTACGAGTTTAGTTTATGGGGAGATTTTCTCTTAATATGTTTATGTTTTTCCAATATAAATTTTTAATATGTAAGTCGTTTGACCAAACTATAATAATATTGTATCTTTTAGAATAGTTTTGTTTGTCATCTGATTTACCCTCTCTATGATTTGCAATTGTAAACTTCCGCATGACGCCCTAATCACCTTCATAACCCAACAAAAAATAAATCTGTTAAGACAATAATTTCACCGGACATAAGTTAAACCACAAGGTATAAGTTCAATGATACAAGTCGACACAAGTTATGTAATGACATAAGTTTAGTGACACAAGTTATGCCTTAAGAGAAGAGAGATTATGTCCCAAGGCACAAGTTATGCCATATAACATAAGTTCACAATGTTATTCTACCTAGCATATTTTCAGTGACACAAGTTATGCCTCAAAGCATAAGTTTAGTGGCACAAATTATGTACAAAAAACAAAGTTCTCAAAACGTCATGTCCCACCAATAACATACCACAAAACTTACGCCATAAGGGAAGCACACTCTAAAAAAATTGCCCAACGAAATTAGGTCATAGTTAAAAAATAATTTAGTCCATAATTTTTACTAAATGAGCAATATTGGTAAAAATTAAAGACCATAATTTTTGGGACAAACATTAAAGACAACCCCGAAATAGAGGATTTGATGAATGATCCTTTCAACACTACAATTACTTCATGCTAAAAATCTTAAAAATTAAATCCATTAAATTTAAATTCTGAATCCGTCTTACCCCTAATACTTACATAATCTTATAGGAAATTTTACACAAATTTTATAGTGTTAAGAGCTAATTACATTTTATCCCCACTCCTTTTCAAATTACAAAAAATCCTTTAAATTTGGTGGAATAAAGATACATCTCAAAACGTTCCAATACACCGCATCTTAGTTTCGAATACATCACTCAACGTCCCTATACATCACGTCTTGATTTTGGATACATCACTCAACGTATTAATACATCGTATACGTCTCAATACATCGCCTAAAATAATGTATCCGATCAATAATTGCATAAAGTGATGTATTCGAAAATAGGAGAAAGTAGAGATTGTCATATTTTTTTCGAATGATAGAAATTTTTTCTAAAAATATAGCAAAATAAATTGTGTACTTAGGTAATTTTCCCAATCTTATATCTATTTTATTTTGTTTCATTTGTTTAAAATTGCATAATAATCTCAATTTGGGCTCATTATTAAGCCCAAAATATTGGGCCGAATATATATAATCGCATTTTTTTTCTCGCAGACATTTTTTTTGGAACTTCATCTAAACTTCATAACGGCTTGCCTTAGGGTACTCGTCAAAGCCTCCCAGTATTCACTAGCTCAGTCCACCACCTATATCGGCCGGCGGCGGCAATTCCCGACGAACTTTTCTTATCTACGACGTCGTATTTTCTCTTCTAAACCCGATAATATGGTGAGATTTTTTCGTATACTTATTGATTTCATTTCTGATAATTCAAACTTTCTGTGGTTTATATGAATGAATTGAAATGATTGTAGGCTGAGTCGGAGAGTAAGTCACACGAGACAGTGAAAAATTGCAAACCGGAGGTAGTTATTGTGATACACATTGTGATTTTTCTTTATTGAGCTTTTTTTTGATTGACTTTGAGTATCTGATAGGCAGCAGCATCAGAAGGAAAGCAATTGACACCTGAAGAGCTGGAGAAGAAGAAGAAGAAAGAAGAAAAGGTCTGAAGACTACTTTTTTTTTTTTGGATTCTGCTGTGATGGATGATTCCTCACAGTGAACCATTGCAATTCGATACCATGTTTTGGCGTTTAAACGATCAATTCCTTGTTACAATCATTATTCTTAGTGATATTCAATTCTAACTTATGATTGACTCAGTTAATTGATTGATTCAAAATATCTAAGTGGTCCCTTTGTGTTTATTGTTTGGCAGGCTAGAGAGAAAGAGTTGAAAAAACTCAAGGCTGCACAAAAAGCGGAAGCAGCAAAACAGGTAAAACTACTTTGTTTATTTATCTAATTATGTTTGATACTTGTGTACTTCATAAATGCATGGCTTGGTAGAATGGCTCTTAGCTATCTCTGTTATGCTGACTGATTGAGGAAAAGGAATTGCCAAACTCTCGGTACCACTGCCAATACGTTCAGCAAGTCTGGACAATGATGAAATTATGAAATTTCTTGTTACTCTAATATGATTTCTGCTTTTCCAAGCTTCTCTGACTTGGTTCGTCTGTATTAATTAAGGCACAAGCCAGCTCCGCTGTGTCAAAGACTGCTAAGAAGAAGAGCTCAAAAAGGGATGGTGGAGAGGAGAACACTGAGGATTTTGTTGATCCAGAAACACGTCTGGGGGAGAAGAAGAAACTCTCCCGAGAAATGGCAAAAACTTTTAATCCCAGTGCTGTAGAGAAATCGTGAGTTTGAAATTGGCTTACCTTAACTTTTCAATTTACTAATTCAGAAAAAAGATTCTATTGTTAGCACACTGTTATGATTCTTTATGCTAACCTGACTAGGTGGTATGCGTGGTGGGAAAAGTCCAATTTCTTTGTTGCAGACCCAAACAGCTCTAAACCACCTTTTGTGATTGTGAGTTTATCTTCTGACTTCTTGTGCTGTTGTTCTAATTGATGATTATGGTGTGAATGATATCTAGGACATATAGGATCTATAAGGAGCTTGGTTCATCTACAAATGCAACTATTTGTAGTTTGAGTTCTTAGGATAATATTTTAAGGAGAAGCACATGTTGGTACTCATGCATTTGATAATTTTTACTTACTGGGATGTTAATGTTTGAATTTATGTTCGTACAGCTAGACGTTTTTATTTGTTATCTTAACTTGATTTGGTTCCATGAGGTGGGTTTGGAAACCTATTTTGTACCCTCTTTCTCATGGATCACAAAAGTACCCTAAACAATTTAGTAGTTGCTAATGAGGAAGAGAAGTTTCAGTCGCTCATTTTCCTCAAGTACTCTCGAACAGTTTTGTTAATCTTAACTTCTCATTTTCTGTTTTGTTGTCATGATGTGGGTTTGGAAACCTATTCTCTTCTCCCTTCCTCAGTTGTTCATTATCCTGGAGTACTCGGACACTTTGTCAATTTCAATAGCTCATTTCTCTAGGATTTTACAGTGGATGGTGCTATTATGCCAGTTAAGAGGGAAATTCGTTTACCCTCTTTGGACAAGGTGAAATTTTATTAAGACCAGAAACAATAGTGGCTGGTGATTTCAGTTGGGGAAACAAGCTATAGTTAGACGATTCTGCAGTGAGCTAATAAAATCTTACATGGTAGTCAAAATCATTTATAACAGCCAATTTGTTCCAAAAAGAAAGCAAAGAATACATTTGAACATAAGATTAAGTGTAAAATACTTTTTGTCTCAAAAATTTCTGGAGTTGCTTTCTCCCTGGATTGCCCACCAAATGTCTGCCTGGATGGAATTCCATGTCATCAATGGCACTCTGATTTACTTACTTACAGTGAATGCTCATGTGAAGCCAAAAGTAAAATAACTCTATACAGAGTACTACAGTGAAGAACTTAACTGGTATTTTTCATTTGGACAATCACTTGGTAAATTGCATTAACAATTTGGAAGGAAAATAAGCTGAAATGAAAATCTTGTTTGTTACTGTGTTCCTGGTCTAAGCTTGGACTTCTTTCTCCCGAGCTGCTAACCTCTACATCTAAATGCAGGTCTTGCCCCCACCAAATGTGACTGGTGCTCTCCATATAGGACATGCACTCACTGCTGCCATCGAGGTATCAAAATTCAGAATCACTGAGCCTAGTTCTGAGTGTTCTTCCGCTTATACAGATTTTATATTTTACCTTTGTGTCCAGGATACTATTATTCGTTGGCGGAGAATGTCTGGATACAATACCTTGTGGGTCCCCGGGATGGATCATGCTGGGATCGCAACTCAGGTTGTGTTTCAAACATATCAAATCACGACTTCAAACATTGTTCTAGGGTGTTAAGTTAATCCGGTTTATCTTTACCTATAATAACATGGTCTTTTATGCTGTTTATCTACTATTTTCTAAGTGTGCATGGTGGATGGTGAATCTAGGTTGTTGTGGAGAAGAAGATCATGCGAGAAAGGAATTTGACTAGACATGATATTGGTCGGGAGAACTTTGTTGCTGAGGTGAGTATATACTGCTATCACCTTATTTCACGTCTAGTGCTTATTTTGAAGCTAATGATTATTTTGTTTTTCATTCCCATAAAAATCACTTCAATGGCCATAATATCCTTCCAATTGTTGTTTTCAAGCAAATAAGATCTTTCCAATTTTTTGCCTCTTTCTCAGTCTGGAACAAGGTGTCTTAGGAAGAGTTAAATAAAGAAAAGCAAGTGCTAATTTTAACAATTCTTTGCACACGTAGGTTTATTTTGTTAATTGTAATGTTAATTGTACTCGCTAAGGTTTTTGTAGGTCTGGAATTGGAAGAATGAGTATGGGGGTACTATACTACAGCAATTACGTCGCCTGGGTGCGTCACTTGATTGGTCTCGTGAGGTATGAATCGTGAGTTTAACCTTTTCTTCCCAGTGTTGGGAAAATCCTGAAGTAGTTGTACAATTCTTATTTGTTGTGCTCTAACACATGTTCTGTGAAGTCAGTGCTTTACCATGGATGAGAAAAGGTCCAAGGCTGTAACTGAAGCATTTGTTAGGCTTTCCAATGAAGGTCTTATATACCGGTATGCAGCTCCTTTATTTTCTTTCGTCTGCCTTATCTCCTCATTATGTGCATGTGTAGCATATTCTTGAGTGCGCAGGTTTCTTGAAATAGTTTTGGCTCTATATTTAACTTTTGTTATCATCTATCAAGGGCTCCACGTATGGTGCATTGGGATTGTGTCTTGCGTACTGCAATCTCTGATATTGAGGTGAGTCATGCTGAATCAAGTCTTAGATGTTGTAGCAAATATATCCTTATTCACCGTTGAAAGTTGCTTGCTGTTCGTAGGTTGAATATACAGACATCAAAGAGAGGACACTTCTGAATGTTCCTGGATATGAAGAGCCTGTGGAGTTCGGGTTGCTGACCTCATTTGCTTACCCCTTAGAAGGCGATCTTGGTGAAATTGTTGTGGCGACCACCAGAATTGAAACTATGCTTGGTGATACTGCAATTGCTATACATCCTGAAGACAAAAGATACAGTCACCTTCACGGGAAATTTGCTATTCATCCATTCAATGGAAGAAAGCTTCCAATAGTTTGTGATGATATACTTGTAGATATGAACTTTGGGACTGGTGCTGTTAAGGTATTCTATATCATTATGTTCTGAATGTGGTGAAATAATTGCCACATCTCCAGTACTCATCATTGCTTATGGACCATTCTTTGAATATCCTGGCAGATAACTCCAGCCCATGATCCAAATGATTTTGAGGTTGGACAGCGTCACAAACTAGAATTCATAAGTATTTTTACTGATGATGGGAATATAAATAGCAATGCTGGTCCAGACTTTGAAGGAATGCCTCGTTTCAAAGCTCGTGTCGCTGTGACAGAAGCTTTAAAAGAAAAGGTATCTTCATAACTTTTCTGTACTGTTTTAGCTGGAAATAAAATGTTAATGGACTGCATGCATGTATTGATATACAAATTTGTTCTAATTTGTGTTGTCTCACATATAAAAGATCCATGAATGTGTCTTCATCAAAGGAAAAAAGAGGATCCATGGATGTGATGGACCCACTTGCTTCTGAGATATCCATGTATATACCCATTTCTGTCCAATATGAGTATATGTAGGAAGGACTTCATACACATAATATTCATAAATGTTTGGTCCTCCTTTACATAGTCCCTCTCCATTTGAAACCAACATTCCATATCTTGCAAATTGTAAGGTATTTTTTTGATATGGTAAATACTTTTATTATTCTTTGAAAAAAGCTATAAGAGGTATATAAAAAGTAGAACTACATGTAGATGAAGTGGGGAGACCATAAGGTTTTAGGTTAAAATACTAGTTGTTTTCTTCTCATCTGCTTAAACGTTGTTTGTAGAGTTACCCTGCACCTGTGCTGGTGGGAGGTAATGGAATAGTTGAGGTGCGTGCAAGCATGCCCTCACCATCATCAAAAAAATAAAAATAAAGTAGAGACTACATTAATAGACGATTCTCTACAAAATACACCTGTCATCTTATTGATGGGTTGATGAAAGCTCTTTTGTTCAAGTCATTCGTTTCCCTCATATTCCACGACAATATCTTCAACTTCTATGAACCACAATCTTCTGCTTTCCCCATCCCTTTACCCCTTTGCCTCTGTCCATTTCACCCACCTGACCTTTCCTCTGATTCACCACAATATCACCCCTACCTTCTTTCACCCCCCTAGCTATCCCTCTCCACTCTTCTATCTCCTGCTCTACAGCATGTATCAACACAAATGAAAAAAGCATTTTGGCAATGTAAGATTTGTCTTGTACATGTGTTGCCTATGCTTAAAACATGCTATTGGGCATTGTGTTTATGACCATTCTGTAGCATTATGCTCCAGAGGTAATGGAAGCCTAATATATAAGTATACTTCATATGGAATTTCCAATTTGCTATAACAGAGAGATTAGTTATGTACCTAACCAAAAACCTGTATCAGTATGTACCTAATGAAAAACATATATGCTATATGAAAGTACGACGCAAGCCAATATTCTGTTTGGTATGTTAGAGATGTTCCATATGATTACAATAAAAGTACATTGAAATATAGGCTTTTCATATATTTTCAATATTATTGATTGGAAGGACCTTAATGCGTATATCAAATGTAAACTTGTTGATCCAGCTATGTTATCGTTAGGTTCTTGTTGTACTTCTCCCTAGTTTTGAGTGTGGTGGTTGTAATAGGGAATCACAATCTCTGTCCTGATGTACATGTTATTTTCTATTTTGGTACATCCAAGAGGTTTTACACGCTCAGACACAGTAAAATTATCCTACACAATTTTTACAAATTTCAAGTTGTCAAATCCATGAACTAAATACAAATTTTGTTGCAAATAATGCTAATAAACTACATTTTTAATGATCACAGGACCTATTTAAAATATAAAGGGAAAAGGAACGGATTTACCCCTGAACTTTAATAAATTGTACGTATATGCCCTCCGTTATACTTTGCATCCACATAAGCCCCTGCCGTCCAATTATAGATACACATATATCCCTCTCACTAACGGACCCCTAATTTCTTACACGTGTCTTAATCCTATTGAACTACCGGTTTGACCCTTTTTTTAACCCATAACCCAACTATCCGCCCCATAACCCAATACCCACCTAATTTCCTCTAAAAGGAATCCTAATTAAAACACCCAAATTAACAGTGCTCTTCCTCATTAATCCAGTCCTTATGAGTCTCGAATAACAACCCCCAGTCTTATATTTGTTTTCCTTATATGGCCTTATCAGGTAATTTATGTTTGTATTATGATATCATCTGAAATCATGGGGAGATTGAGAGGTACTCTATTTTCAAGTATAAGAAACAGAGGAACCATTGAAATGACTCAATGAGAGGTACTTTGTTTTCAAGTAGTTTTCCTCGTCTTCATCATCACCATCGTTACTAAGAACAGAACCAACATTCTCTACATCACATTCTTTTCAAAAATCTGCCAGGCACACTTTCGTCATTTGGAGTCACTGAAACTGCATACGGCTGAAAATTTGTGTTGGCGTTTGACTGTTGAACGAGTTCCATTTTCCTCATCCTGTCTGCTTTTTTCAGATTGACAAATATTTACTTGAACCAATAAGAGCAGTTCAGTTGATAGCACTGACACCTAGTGATCAAACTTCCCTTTTGGACAATTTTTTTTCTTATCCTTGGATGGCCAGAAAGTTGAAGCATAACAACAAACTTTCAAGATCAACAGGATTTTATAAACTGATGTGCAAGAGGAAAATGTAGTTGCCGAATAAAAATTTGTCATCTGCTAAAGATTGAATTTTGCTTTATCAGAAAACAAAACAGTGCCTGAAAGTTTATCAATAAGATTTTAGGATGGAAAAGTTTAAATTACCAATAGCAATTCGAGAGTATTAACTCAAAATGCAAATTTTGGAATGTTGTCAAATCTATAATAACCTTTGAATTCAGACAAACTGGAATCGCGGCGGATAGTTGGATACGGGCGATGACTGGGGTTTTGGTGTGTGAGATATGCAGGGGACCTCCGACTAGGGAAAAGGGACGGATTTTGGTGTGTTAATTTGGGTGTTTTAATTAGGATTCCTTTTAGAGGAAATTGGGTGGGTATTGGGTTATGGGTTAAAAAAAAGGGTCAAACGGGTAGTTCAATAGGATTAAGACACGTGTAAGAAATTAGGGGTCCGTTAGTGAGAGGGATATATGTGTATCTATAATTGGACGGCAGGGGCTTATGTGGACGCAAAGTATAACGGAGGGCATATACGTACCATTTATTAAAGTTCGGGGGTAAATCCGTCCCTTCTCCCTAGAAGTTGGAGGAGGCAGATGATGGGATTTCGTTGGCGATAATCTCTGACAAAATCGATTGCGAAGATGAAGAGGAATAGCTGGAGGGACGAGTAGTAAAGTAAGTAGTGGCAAGTTGTTGACGATGACAGATTCTTCAGAGCTCGAAAAAGAGTTGAAGCAATGATTATTCCTTGATTTCATTTCTGATGCGGTGCGAGAGAGAAGCACATGTGGATTCAACGCTACCCATTGAGCAATTTGGGTTATATTTTTGGATCTGGGTATCATGTATTTGGGTGGGGATTTAATTTTGGTAGAAAAATTTAATAAAGGGACGGATTTTGGTGTGTTAATTTGGGTGTTTTAATTAGGATTCCTTTTAGAGGAAATTGGGTGGGTATTGGGTTATGGGTTAAAAAAAAGGGTCAAACGGGTAGTTCAATAGGATTAAGACACGTGTAAGAAATTAGGGGTCCGTTAGTGAGAGGGGTATATGTGTACCTATAATTGGACGGCAGGGGCTTATGTGGACGCAAAGTATAACGGAGGGCATATACGTACCATTTATTAAAGTTCGGGGGTAAATCCATCCCTTTTCCCAAATATAAATTGCAATAAAATAAATTCAGTGAATAGATAGAGCCAACGGTACAATGGATAAATGCCTTACAAGCCAATTAGTTTTCATGGTTGAGCAGTCTTATTTTACTACAGGGTTTGTGAATGAATGTTGGGCTGAGCCACTTTCGAATGGCATCAGCTGCATGCGCAGCTTATTAATGGAAACAAGTTTTGTGCCAGGGCCACAGTAGCAGAGGATCTATTAATTGATTTCCAGAAGCCTTGGTAGTGATCTTCCATTTTTGAACTTCAGTTTCAACGAGAGCCCAGGCCTTTTCTGTTTGTGTTATTTTTCTAACCTAGTAGAACTCCATAACATAAATTACAATGGATTTTGAGTATTTTAATTACTTGGAATTGGGTGAAAGCACATACTGTTCCAACCTTTTCTTTTCGATATATAAAATTGTCTCACTTTTAGTTCTCTGAGTTCTTGAGACTTTTGAATCGTGCTTAAGTTATGACCTATGAAAGCATGGGTTAGATTTCAGGATACCCCCTAGAAGAAACTGTGCTACATAAAATTGGGCTTAAGGATTTTATGACGTACTTGAATCAGTCGAAAATAGTGACCTGGGATGATTTGAGTTGTCTGTGGCTAAGATGCATTGTCTTTGATTTATGTGTTACAGGGTCTCTACAGGGGTGCTAAGAATAATGAGATGCGCCTTGGAGTTTGTTCAAGAAGCAATGATGTAGTGGAGCCTCTTATAAAGCCTCAATGGTTTGTCAACTGCAAAATTATGGCCAAGCAGGCTTTGGATGCTGTTGTGGATGAGGATAATCAGAAACTGGAGATTATCCCAAAGCAATATGCTGCTGAATGGAAAAGGTAATTTTGGATCTCCCTCCCCCCCCAAAAAAAAGCTTTGATTATGTTTATTATGTTGAATAAATGCTAGGGTTCAAATGAGATGTCAATTTGTGCTATTTAGTCTCCACGACCCTATACATATGTACACTGGTGTATTTTGATGGGTCTAATGACTGTGTTTTAGGTTCTTCTATTTGATATAGTCTTTTTTTCATTGCGGCAATGGATATTCTATCATTTACTTTTGTGTCAGTATCTCATCAGACGAGTGTTACAAAGGCGAAAAGCGCAAAAGAGCTCTAAGGTCTGTTGGGGCTTTCAGTGCAAAGCGCAAATAAAGCGTGGGCTTTAATGAAAAAAGGCGCAAAGGGAGAAAAATATATGAATATATATGTTTAGTCCAAGGCTAATAATTATAAACATGAATGACAACTATATGACCAAAGAAATTGAATTGTTTTTATGATAAAGTAAAATATCAATTGTTTAGTGTCACTTCTTCAGAAGAGGTTCATTGGCAAGGAAAAGTTTGCCTTAGAACCTTGATGACGACGCTGAAGCGCACATAAAGTGAGGTGAAGCGCACAACACGTTTTGAGCCTCGCTTCAGGGCTTAAGCGTGCTTAAAGCGCGCCTTTGACTACACTGCATCAGACATCGATGCATACATGCAAAAAACTTGGTTGTGATTTTTGTTATGGATTCAATGATACACTAAATACAGGATACTTTCATAAAATGAACTTTATACATGATATTTTGTGCCATTTTCTCATTTCTTGATGCATCATCTGCTTCAAAATCTTTTGTCCTCTATATCATGAAGACTTATGTGGTGAACATGCAGATGGCTTGAGAATATTCGTGATTGGTGCATCTCAAGGCAACTTTGGTGGGGTCATCGTATTCCTGCTTGGTATGTCACACTGAGTGATGATAAGCAGAAGGAATTTGGTGTGTCTGACGATCACTGGATTGTTGCTAGAAATGAAGAAGAAGCTCGAGATTTGGCTTCTAGGAAATTTTTGGGGAAGAAGATTGTTGAGATCTCTCAAGATCCAGATGTGCTGGATACCTGGTTTTCGGCTGGTCTTTTCCCATTATCTGTATTGGGGTGGCCAGATAATACTGCAGATTTTAAAACATTTTATCCAACTTCAGTTCTTGAAACCGGACATGATATTCTCTTCTTCTGGGTTGCACGTATGGTAATGTTGGGAATAAAGCTGGGAGGTGATCTACCATTTTCAAAGGTTAGCAAACCTAATCCTCCCTCATATGAAAAACCATTTTTTCTTATTGAGCTTTATGCTATAACTGGAGTTTGATTCTTTGAATCTATTTTTAGGATCATGTTCATCGAGATAGTTCTGGCTCCATGATTTATGGTTTTTCCACTCCTTAAAATTGACTCTGTGAGCTTGCTCACATTGCTGGTCCCAAGCCCGGATAAAGGAGGAGGGTTACCGAGGGTCAAATCAAAACAGCCTCTCTACCCCATAAAGGTAGGGGTAAGGCTGCGTACATCTTATCCTCCTCAGACTCCACTTGTGGGATTACACTGGGTTTGTTGTTGTTGGTCTCAGTCCTTGACATTGAAGATTAAGTAGAGATATTGGTTATGAAAGTTATATTTAGTAGTTCATTTTTTATCTACACAAAGTAGTTATATAACTTGACGTTTCTGCTGTCATCACAACAAATTTATTCATTTTATAATGATTTGCAGGTTTATTTGCATCCAATGATCCGCGATGCTCATGGGCGTAAGATGTCGAAGTCGTTGGGAAATGTTGTTGATCCTCTTGAAGTGATTAATGGAATCACACTTGATGGTCTTCATAAAAGATTAAAGGAGGGTAACCTAGATGCAAAAGAATTTGAGAAGGCAAAAGAGGGACAGGCAAAGGACTTTCCTGATGGTATTCCTGAATGTGGTGCAGATGCTCTTCGATTTGCCCTTGTCTCATACACTGCTCAGGTTTGTCACATTTGTGTCTTAAGATTTAATAAGCTGTTTCTTTTGACGTTCTTTGGGTATTGTTAACTTTCTTAATTTGTACTTCCAGTCCGATAAGATCAATCTTGATATTCAGAGAGTTGTTGGGTATCGTCAATGGTGTAACAAACTGTGGAATGCCATTAGGTTTGCCATGAGTAAATTGGGTGAAGATTACACCCCTCCAACAAAGATAGTTCCTCGTGAAATGCCTTTTGGCTGCCAGTGGATACTCTCAGCACTTAACAAGGCCATAGCAAGAACTGTCTCATCCCTGGAATCTTATGATTTCTCCGATGCAGCAACAGCAGTATATTCTTTTTGGCAGTTTCAGTTGTGTGATGTATTTATAGAAGTAATCAAGCCATACTTCACCGGTGATAATCCAGAATTTGTATCTGCAAGAAGATCTGCTCAGGACACCTTGTGGCTTTGCTTAGATAACGGATTGAGATTACTCCATCCATTTATGCCTTTTGTCACCGAAGAATTATGGCAGCGCCTTCCTGCTAGCGGGGATTCTATAAAGAAAGAATCTATAGTGATAAGTGATTATCCTTCATATGTAGAGGTATGATCTAATCACAAATTTTAAAGGTGTAGAACTAGCAAATAGACATATTACCTTTGTTGGTGGCTGTTAACTGTTAAGTAAGTTTTGATGTGAACTTTTTCTTTTCAGTTGACTCGGACTGAAGTGTAGTTTCTTTTCCTTCTTTTCCTCTTCTTCTTGCTGTTGGTTTTGCATGATGATAGAGTCTTGGTTACTCTAAACTTAGGTATATGATCTATTTCTGGAAAACCAATTTAGAGTCATGCATGTATGTTGTTAAACTTCTCATCAAGTATCTGTGAAAAGAAAACCATGTAGACAATTCATTTTGCAAGAATTCGTATTTGAAATATGTTAACTTGCTTGAGGATCTGAAACAAGCAGCTTATCAACACGAGTCTAGTAGTAGAAAACAGGACTTAATATAGTGTGAGCTTATCAAGACGAGTCTAGTTGTAGAAAACAAGACTTAATATAATGCTCCATGCCAGCTGCTACTTGATTCTTATATTGTCTAATGACCATGCTGCTTTACGTCTGTTCAATTTTTCAGAGCTGGAATAATGATAATGTGGAAGCTGAGATGGAAAAGGTGTCATCCATTGTTAAAGGACTGAGGTCGAAGAGGGCATTGTTGCCTCCAAAGGAGAGATTTGCAAGGTAAACATTTGGGTGTATCCTGTGTCTCCTGGATCACTTATAATTTCCATATATAAAAAGCATTTCAAATGGTATTTCTGGTTTTCTTCAGGAATCTCTTTGTATGTGAAGTCTATGCTATAAATGCCATTCAATATTTATTGTCTGTTGAGCATTAAGCCAAAATTTTGTGAACATGTGCAACCTGTCCTCATAAGAATGGTTGAAGTACCATAGGAATTATTTTTGAATGAAAAAAAAAGTAATAGGGTGGATAAAGAGCATGTTAATTCCATTTCGTGTTTAATGGGTATTGAATATGTCGTCGTTCAATATGGCTTTTTGACTATTAGAGATGTGAAAAGGTTGAATTTATCTTGGAAGTGGTGGAAATGCAAATCCGTTCTCAAAAGTGGAAGCACTTTAAGCAGTCACAAATGAGGTGGGAGTACAATGCAAATAAAGAAGGTTCAACCATTCACCTTTTCATGAAATAATCGACAATCTATGAATTAGTTGATGTCTTCATTCCTAATGCAACCTCTCATCTAAGCTGTTTGAAGTATCACTCTTTCTTATCCATATTTAGAAGATTGTAATTCACTTCGTCAGCTTTCATACTGCTGCTATTGGTATTTTTCTGTTCAGTTGTAATTTCGTTTGGAGGACCTATGCTAAATTCCACTAGATATATATGATGTATTACACCTGGATGAAGGATACCAGTGTGCTGTTATCTGTTTGACTATGTGTTTGTGAGTCATTCATTCAGTGATGCACCCTTGATATATATTAATGATTGCAAGAGAGACTTACATGTTAGGCTTTCTTTATATGACTTGATAGTCTAGTTTGGTTTGAGAAGGAAAAAAACTTTTTCATAAATCCAATTAGGACATTTAACTTTCCAAACTAATGGTGGTGATCTTGCTGTCCGCAGGCGAGAAGCGTTTGTGCTTTGCCGGACAAATGATATTGTGGAGATCATAAAAAGCCGCGAACTTGAGATTTCTACTTTAACTACACTGTCATCTTTGAAGGTATCTCTTTCTATGTCTGGTTTGGTTCTCTTTGATTCAAGGCTTTTTCATGCCTTCCTTGTGTTGTCTTCTCAGTCGTGAAATAAGAAAACAAATTAGTTTACTAATGTTGCTTATTTATAAACTGTTTTGAGAAAAATGGCTTATACTTGTATTTCAATTGAATGTGAGTATTAGCTAGAAACATTGTCCAACCAATGTATGCTGTTTTGATGTGTGTTGCACAACAACACTTTAAAGAAATAGTTTTATTGTTTTCCAATCTCTGTTGCTCAGACTCTTTAAAAAATGTCAATTGGTGCATGTTGGATTCTCCAAAAGTAGTGTATTTTTGGAAATCCGACACGGGTGTGGCATCGAAAGTGAAGAGTCAGTGCAACTTAGTTTCCAATTGCATCAAAAACATGTTATTCATCCTCATCTTCCCTAAAAGTAGAGAATCTTCAACATCCCTATTTAGTTGTTACCTTTCCTCTTCCACATGATATGAAGCTAGTCTTCAAACATCCTTAAAAGCATCCTTAATGGCCAGTCATTAAGTCATGATCAACAACAACCTTGCCCCAACATGTTCTTAGTCGAGGACACGATCAATTGAAACCTTTGTCTTTTGAGGGAAAAGTGGAATTAGATAAGTCATATTTGTTGACAAATATCATAGTTCATGCCTATGTTCATCGGTTTAGTACAATGTTTTATCGGGGAATACAATGGTTGGTGAGGCAAATTGGGGTTTGAACATTAATTCTGTGGATGGATGAAATGTTGATAGCACTAAAAGAGGACCGGCAAAGATTAGTGCATTTACATTAACCGATGTAGTATGTATGAGCTCGACTTTTCAGTGGCTATTAGGTGGGAAGTTTGGAATATGCATGTTATTTTTTATTATTTTTCCTCATTTAGCTGAATCTATATTTCTTGCATTAATCTTCATCAGGTCTCAACTGACACTGATGCAGCTCCAACTCAATGGCTGACAGAAGTGGTGGATGAATCTATCACAGTTTTTCTGGAGGATAAGGGGACTATCGTTAACCCTGAGGCTGAAGTTGAAAGGCTCAAAAAGAAGAGAGAGGAGATGAGGAAGTAAGTGAAATTTCGAAGACTGGACTATTACTACAAAATTATTTTCTGGCTAGATGAATAAGTGCCTTTCAATTGCTTTCCTTGGAGCTAGACTATCTCTTTTTCTTGTCAGGGAATGAAATAAAATTAGCTTTTTGTATAGAAGAGAAGTAAAAGCTATGTTGAATCCTATGTTGTTCGAACTCTTCAAATATGTTGATGGATGCATGTCGGATCCTCCAAGAGTAATACATTTTTGGAGGATTTGATAGGGTGCGACAACATTTTTGGAGAGATTGAGCAACATGGATGAATCAGTATATAAGTCATTTCAACTTACAAAAACAGGAAATTGGTGATTGTCTTTAGTTTTATGAATTACTGAAACTCGAGGAAAGTTCCAATCAGGTAAGCCGTGGAGTCATTGAGTTATGTTGAGAAAGATGTTGGGTGAATTAGGAAAATGTGTAAAAGATCAGTCTTGTTTTTATTTTTGTTAAGAAGTCCCACATCGGAAAAGGGATAGGCAATTGGTCTTGTTATATGGACTTGAACAATCACCCCCTCATAAGCTAGCTTTTGGGGTTGAGTTAAGCCCACGATCCATCTTTACATGGTTTCAGAGTCAGGCCCATCCCAATTCTTTGTTCACCGATGTTGGTCCCTTCTATTGTATTGTCCAAGCTCCAGTTAACAAGGTCTGAGCGTGCGGGGTGTTAAGAAGTCCATATCAGAAAAGGGATGATGGACAATTGGTCTCGTTATATGGACTAGGACAATCCTCCTCCACTCATAAGCTAGTTTTTAGGGTTGAGTTAGGTCCTAGATCTATCTTTACATTTTTCACTAGATATTACTATCTTTTTATCCGGATATTCATCAATTTAACGTAGTGATAGTCCAAAATCATGAATTGTACTCAACTTTGTTCAGCTAGTGCATCCATTTGAAGAATAGTGCATAAATGCAATTTGACTTCTTGTCATTCAGTTGTTTTCGTTCAAAAGTGGGCTGAAGTTAGATATCGTGAAATTTGAGTCAATTTAAATTGTGAAGTTTACTAGCTGTGCAATTTGTCATTGTACCAACTTTTTCTTCTTTTGCAGGCAATATGAAACCTTAACCAAAACCATGAGTACCTCTGGCTACAAAGAGAAAGTTCGTGCTAATGTCCATGAAGAAAATACACTGAAACTTGGTGCCCTCAAGCAAGAACTGGAATCATTCGAAGAAAATATCGAGCGTCTCATACGTCAAATGGAGGCACTATAATTGGAGTAATTTCATGTTGTTGTGCCTCGATTGTTCAACACATTTTGCCCCTATAGCTTTTACAGGGAAATTTGTTTTAAAAAAATAATAATTCTGTTTTATGTTAAATTTTGCTGTTATTAGTGTACCATGTTGCATTTTTAATATTAGTTTACCATTCTTGAAACTTTTGAGATGACAAGGTGATTTCTGTAATTTGTGATATGAATAGGCTTAATACTAGCCTCCTCAATTCGCTAATATTTTGCCCTAGACCACATAAAAATTGCCAGTATAATGTTTTTTTTCCAACTGTATACACTTGATTATGTCGTGAGGCTGACTGAATTCAATTAATAAATTCGGGAATGAAACGAAGTTCGTTCCCTTTTGTCAAGTAGGTACAGTAGATATGTGATATTTGCCCTTTCGTAGTAGAGCCTTCTTGGATAACTGATTTCTGATGCATTGATATGTTGTAAGTAGGCCATTTGCTATTACGATGGCTCATTCGCCTGTCACGTGGTGGCACCAGAGTCATAAATACTTGAAGTAAGCTCCTGGCTTGCCCCTATCTCTAAAGGGGCTTACGAACGAGCGGAGTGCTTACGGCTGTGGTAGCTTAGTTATAAAGTTGAACACTTGTTTAGTCAATTTTCATTAGTATGAATTTAGGAATAATGAAAAGTCACTTCTTGAATCACCGAATATTTCTATTTTCCATTATACCAACCAAATCTATTCGAAAGGTTAGAAATCAACAAAAGAAAAAGTAAGTGGACCTGACCTATTGAATCATGACTATATCCGCTATTCTGATATTAAAATTCGATAGAGATGAAATTGGAGCAGTTGATTTTTTTTTATTTCATTTTTTTGTTTTGGACTCCACAAGAATTTGTCGATATTTCCGATTAAATCTTCTTGTTACTAGATTTTCTATAGGAAAAATTATCGGAATAATTTGTTATTCCTTTCCTCTACAGAGAAACCTTTCTTCCAAGGCACACCATAAGAGCCATTTATTATTTTTCTTTGATTCTAGATCAAAGATTAATTTCATCTATATTATATATTAATTATATTAAGTAGATTGTAGATTGATTTCGATGTATATCTATCAGATCATGGCTTCATGTACCAAATATTTCAATATCGTTGCATCCGGTATTTTTGTTTTGTTCCACCAGTGTGATGAAGAATAGATCCGAGAAAGAGACTTTCATTTCCAGTCTCCTATTTATTTATTTATTGAATTTTAGATTTTCTAAAAGGAAAAATAGTAGATTATCTCTTTTTCTAACAGATAAAAGAATCTAAAAATAAATATTCGATCGAACTGTCTTTTTTCCTTCGATCCGTGGAAAGATATACTCTGGGGTTTTCGATTTATTTATATGAAGTATGAAGGAAAGGGACCGTTTGGTCCTTGAAGAGTTCTTTCAAAACAAGGGATTGATTGAATTATCTTATTAAGACAATTCATGGTTCATATGCTTAGTCAGAAGGAATAATCCAATGGAGTTCATGGATTTACCTAGGTCAGTTTATGGGCTAATCAATAAAGGATTTTTATCTTCGAAACCCATTGGGAAGGGCAGTGCAAGAGAAATCAGACAAAAATGATCGGATCTTGGGACGCCCCGAAAAAGATATGAGGTGCTCGGAAATGGTCGAAGTAGTTGAATAGGAGGATCACTATGACTATAGCCATTGGTAAGTTTACCAAAGACGAAAATGATTTATTTGATATTATGGATGACTGGTTACGGAGGGACCGTTTCGTTTTTGTAGGCTGGTCCGGTCTATTGCTCTTTCCTTGTGCCTATTTCGCTGTAGGGGGTTGGTTCACAGGTACAACCTTTGTAACTTCATGGTATACCCATGGATTGGCCAGTTCTTATTTGGAAGGCTGCAATTTCTTAACTGCCGCGGTTTCTACTCCTGCTAATAGTTTAGCACATTCGTTGTTGTTACTATGGGGTCCTGAAGCACAAGGAGATTTTACTCGTTGGTGTCAATTGGGGGGTCTGTGGACTTTTGTTGCTCTCCATGGAGCTTTTGGCCTAATAGGTTTCATGTTACGTCAATTCGAGCTTGCTCGATCTGTTCAATTGAGACCTTATAATGCAATCGCATTCTCTGGTCCAATTGCTGTTTTTGTTTCTGTATTTCTGATTTATCCACTAGGTCAGTCTGGTTGGTTCTTTGCACCTAGTTTTGGTGTAGCAGCTATATTTCGATTCATCCTATTTTTTCAAGGGTTTCATAATTGGACCTTGAACCCCTTTCATATGATGGGAGTTGCCGGTGTATTGGGCGCTGCTTTGCTATGCGCCATTCATGGTGCTACCGTAGAAAATACTTTATTTGAAGACGGTGATGGTGCAAATGATCTATCCTAAAAGAATTGACTTACCTTCCAATTTCGCTATCACTCGTAATGATGGACTATATTTTCTTGCTGGGTGGGGATGGGAATAGAGTTTTTGATTTGATGTGACAAAGTGTCTTACATATGTCTAGTTTCTAGTAGAAAAAAATATGTCCAACTTTATCCATTATTAGTAGTATTGTGAATTTATATACACCAACGATACAAGAATATTTACAATAATGATATTTTTTTAGCTTGAGTACACTTTTTGAGAAAACTATTCATTTTTAGAAAATAAGATATATTTTTATGAATTTATCCGTAATAAATATCTTGAAAAAAATTGCTTTATGCGAATTTATATTATATACACTATCAGTATAAAATATTCTTAATATTATTTTAGGGGTATCATCCGACATTAACCATGTTGAGTCATGTCTGACCTATTCTTCTTGTCACGTATCGCTTCTTTAATTTGCTCAAGTATCCAAACTAGTTTTTACCCCATACAGAAGTAAAGTATATAAAAAAAAAATCACCTAAACAATTATACTATTTTAAAAAAATATTCATGTCATAACCAAGAATCTTTTAACACCTAATCTTTAAATCAATTAGAAAGAAAGAGGATCTAATTATCCTCTATACAATATGCATAAAAAAATCTGATGATATGTGGACCAAACTTTAGCACTTAATTATAAACATACCGACAGCTCCAGACCAAGTTAGCCATGCAAGAATATCTTCTTATCTTATAAATCAGATCTCATTTTATTATTTTTTTGGAGTAATTAATAAGAAGAAATATAACTTTATTATTTGAAGTAATAATTTAGTTCTTTTTGTTTCTTTCTACCTCCACAGGATAATGGTAAGATCTATGTACACTCCAATGACGGATTTAGAATTTTCATTTAGGAGATTTGAAAAATAAAAGAATAAATATGTAAATAAGCCAATAAAACACAATGGATCCAGGATTTTCATTCAGGGGTTCGAAAAATAAAAGTATAAACGTGTAAATAAGCCAGTAAAACACAATTCCAAAGAAATAGTAGTATATAGGTACATACAAAAAGTTAGTTCCGTTACAGGAGACCTTTCAAGGGCTTGAACCTTGTATGCTAGTGTTAACATAAAAGGAAATCTACCACTATGCTACAACTTACTTCATGTTCATGAGGAGGTTCAACATTAATATATCTACATAAATACATAAAATTTTTCTTATATATACAGTGTATTTTTTTACCGAGGGGGTTTGGATGAACCCTTAAAATCCATGTAGGTGCGTCCCTGGTACACTCTATCCTCTTCAGACCCTACTCTATGTTGTTAGTGTTGTTTGAGAATTAATTTTTTTTTATTAATCACCAAGAGCTATCAGCTAAACTAGAAAATCAAATCATGAACTACGCGAGTAGTATTTAGATTGTAACGAATATTATTGTGAACTCAATGAGTAAAAATATCATATTTTGAATAATTCGATAAAATTGGATCATTATTTTTGTTTAGGAGAAATTATTAGTTAGAGAGACATTTTTGAACTATTTTACTAGTTGAAGAATATATTTGAGCCAAAAACATAAAGCTATGGACAATTTTATTTTAGGATAAAATTTATCAATCAATAGTTAAGGGATATATTTGACTCTTATAAACTAAGGTCTTTATTTATTTTTTTTAATTGTTTTTCTTTATAAGGCTCCTATAACTTAATTATCCTTTCTTTTTTTAATTATTATGTTAAAAGAAAATAATAAGTTGTACTCAATTCCTTTTGTTTCAATTTGTTTGTCCTATTTTTTTTGTTGACAACACGTTAATTATAACCTTCTACAATCTACATGATATATTTATGCCACAAGATTAAAAGATATTATGATACATTTTATATATTATTAATTTAATATCACAAAATGCAAAAATCTTCTTTAATTATTTATTTAATCTTCATGTCAAATTAAAATCAAATAAAATTTCATGTTAAATTAAAATTAGATAAATAAATTAAAACGAGGGAGCACAGAGAGTATTAGCATTGGATGCCACAGGTTATAGATAGACAAGACCATGTGTGCTTAGTCCCAAAGAAATGGAAATGTTTTGCCATGGGATAACGTGCTTCTTGTATTGTGTTTCCCAATTCTTCTACATTTTTGAAAAGCCATCAACCTTTTTCTTAAAAATTATTTAATTACAAAAACATAATTTAGTCAAAGAAAAATTTAAGCACCTTTAAAGGGCATCCTTTATTGAAATCGTAGGGCGAATAAAATTTCTTTATTTATAATTAGAAATTTCAGATTAAAATTAAGTTATGAGTAAAATAATAAATTCGAATAGGAAGTATTCCATGAATATTATGTTGCACAAATTTAAATTAGTTGAGACAATAAAATGAAAGATGGAAAATTAATAAAATGCTAATAAAAAATATTAGAAGATATTCCTTCGATTGCTTATTTTATTCTTGAGTTCATATTATATGTATTGATGGTGAAAAACATATTTACTGATTAAATTATTTTTATTTTATAATTATAAATAAATTTCTTGATAAATATAATTAGTAACCTAGTAAAAATAACTTATATACATGTTTTTTTATTGTCTGAATCTCACTTATTGGTTATGATTCTATCATATATGTTTTTTCATTCTACTAAAAGATATTTATATTATTTGTGTATATAACTTTAATCATAATATTTTTTGCCTCAAATTAAAATCAGCAATAGTTCCTCACTCATCATAATATAATTAAGTCCAATTCCGTCAACTTTTAAATCAATTGAACGTGGACTTTCTTTGCTACTGTAATCTTCACGAATTATTGATTGCATTATTTTATTAATACTCAAGCTATATTAAATTTATATTACAATATTATTTTATAT